CCATTCAAATAAAAAGCCACCAGGCGCATCAATGGTTTAAGGACATGCAAACAGAAAACACAACATCAATTAAGTGGCAAAAAGATCAATGAGACATGAATAGATAAAAATCTATCCTCCTTTGCATTTCTTTTCAGTAATCCTACCCACAGGATCTGTAGATACTTTCCCTTCAGCTTGAAATGCCTTTGCAGAAGTATGCAATTTTCTCTTCATAAGGTAATCATATATATTCACATCCAACCTATTGACCAAAAGAACAAAAATCACCACCAGTCAAAAATTCAGTCTTAACTTACAAAATAACTAGAAGTATAAATGCTTCATATGGTATATAATGTATGACGTAGAATCTTAAGTTGATAGAAGCCCACTGTTCAGATGAGGAAATGCAGAGTTTAAGAAGAGAGAGAGAGATTTTGTTATCAAAAACCTGGAGATATAAACTGCACAGAACTACAGCCAATGCAATTGTTCAATTCAGTTCAGATAAAACTTTTCCATATTATGGAACCAAACAACACACTACATTATATTAGAGATTTTATATGCCTATATTCCTATCAATTTGCTCCACATTAATTAAATATAAAGTGCTAAATACCATTAGCTAGAGATAGGCACTCAATCCTGAGTTTTCTTTTATAGAAATAGAATCAAAATCCACTTTCCAGATTGCAATTATTGTAATTCATTCTGAATTAGCATGGAGGGACCAATCACAACAATTAGGTCAAATCTTGAAACCAAAGACAGGCAAGAGAGGGATATTTCTGGAAGTTAAGCCCAAAGAAAGGACAAAAAAATCTCAACCCAAAATCTCACAAACCCACCTCAATGTGGGATGCAGCAGCGTCAGAGTGCTTCTCATTTGTTCTAGTAATAAATATATCCCAAAAGACTGAGCAATGAAAAGCCACCGGGTGCATCAATAGCTGGAGGACATGCAAACAGAAACACAACATCAATTGAGTTGCAAAAAGATGAATGAGACATGAATAGATAACAATTGAATGTTTGCATTGAAATACAACATAAGATTGAAAACAAGTTACTACATATTATCAGCAAGAAAAGAAAGGAACATTGGTTTTCCAGTTTGCAGCAATACTCAGCCAACAGAACGTCTTGGATGCATTAACTTCATCTTCCTCCACGTTTGTTGTTCAGTCTTTTCCCCTTTCTTGGGTGTCCTTCAACTATCCTTATAACCCACTGAGGCTTTCCTATTGAGAACACAAGATATCCAATCGTCACCCCTAATACCATTCCACATCCATACCCCATCAACACCACTTTCCAACCGAGTCCACTTGAAGACTCTGCATCATCCTCAAATGTTGAGGGTGGTTGCGGTTTCCCATCATTAGTGCCACATTTCTGTGACAAAAGGAAATCCACATAATGCCAAATTCCCATCATATGAATTTTTTTTTTTTTTTCTATGAAAATTGTTCTTGTGAACAAGATAAGAAATGTAAACTCATTACTCATGTATTACTCAAACTCACTCTTTCTCTTTTCTCTCCGCAGAACAGTTCTCCGTCCCCTTTTTTTTTTTTTTCTTTTTTTTTTTTTTTTTTCTAATCGTCTTACATCTTGATCTTAGTGATGGGCTTCCGGGTTTAAAGCCCGTAAGTTTTTGGGTCTCTCCACCTTCGGGTCAAAGATAGGTGAGTTTGTTTGAGCGGACAGTACTATAGGGGTGTGTTAAGGAATTAAGAGTTAAGACTACCTAGGGTACGATTGATTTAAAAAAAAAAAAAAAAAAAATCAATAAAAACCCCATGTTTGGACTGCCAATGGGAGAAGTCAAGACAAATATTAATTAAATCTCTTATTAAATTAAACCTGAAAATTCTCAAATACAAACCCTAATTAGTAAATATGGGTACGACAAAAAAAAGGTACAAAAATTTTACGGGTATAATACGGCAAACAGTAAAAAATACATTTATAAAAATTCGGTCATAAAATTCGGATACAGAAAAAATATGGTACTGATATATACGGGTTTAATACGATACATTGTTAATAATACGTTTTGAAAAATACGGTAATATCAATCTTAGTTTTAACACTTGTATGGACTACCTGGTTAAAATCAATATAGCATTTCAAATGCAAAGTATTCAATTAACTAATAACACAAATATACAATATATAACTGATATTCAAATTATAGTCTCCAAACTCAAACACAATGTTTAAACTTGATTCTTTACTAATTTAAAACTTGATAAGTTTGATAGTAAATGCAACCAATTTTAACTTCCCATTAATCCATTAAATTATATTAAATCAATAACTAAAATTTTGTCTCACAAATCTATATAAAAGATTAGTATTACAATAGTCTAACTATTATTTTATACCTATAATATATGACTTTAATGTTTTATTATTTATTTATTTATTTATTTTGATTCAATAAGACTACTCGATTACTAGGTTGTGTAAGAAAGTTAAATAAAGAAATCATAAAACCAATAAATTTAAGTATATATATATTCAATTTCAATTTCAGATTAATATCCAATAAAAACATATTTTCATGAAAATATTTCCTTTAACTGTAACAGGAAGAAATAAGATGATTTTTTCAGTTGGCCAAAACAACAAAAAGTGAAAAAGAAAAGATCTGAGCAGGCAAGAAGCTGGCGCGTTCACACATCTACTTATTCTTTGTCATTTACTTTGGTCCGATTAATCACAATAAATTATTATTTTGATATCATTAATCCAATCTAAAACCCGTTTTCCAATCTCTTCCCTTACCCACTGATTTTTTCTTTCCCCGCTAAAACGGCGTCGTTTTGGGGTGATAGTTTTTTTTTTTTTTTTTTTTGGGAATAATTCGCGAATTATACAGATATTCATACTATACCCGTATAATTTGGCAACCCTTATAAAATACGTAAATTCACGTATAAAACGCGTATTTACTAACTAGAATACAGACAACTTACAGTTAAATTATTTTCACAGTTTCAAGACATTGTGGTAATTTCATCAAGGATATTTTCTTAAAATTAACCAATAAAATTTTTGGGATATATGGCTCGTTTTCCAATTTATTCCAATGTAAAATTGTAAGTCTTTAGAAAACTATTTAATAAAATATGCAATTATAAATAAAAATAGAATTATGAGAGTCCTATTAATAATTGTAATATGAATCCTATAAGTAATAGAATGTCTTATATACTACCTAAAAATATAGGGGTGAGTATCAATTTTTAGTTATGAGAGAATTTTAAAACACAGATATTTGAAATAAGAGTTAATAAACACTATGGGTAAAATATTTTAGAAAATAAGATTGTTTCTAATCTAGGTATTGAATTGAGCGTCGTCAGAAATTAAGATTGGTCTCGCTCTATTAATTATAGACCTGGTTTATGGTGTTGTATACTTTTGTATATCATGTTCATAAAACTATAATAGATTTCTCTTATCCTTGGATGTAGTTGGATTATGTCAAACCATATAAATATCGCATCTTTTTGTGTGGTGTGAGATTAATACCATTAAAATGTACAAGAAACTAAGAAAGTACCACATACATAAACCTAACAAAGCTTCTGATGCAAGCAATAATGTTAGATATATAAATAAATCTTACAAAAATTGATGTACAAAGTGATGTGACAGAAAATTATTGGAAGAGTAAATACAAAAAAATAAACTTATCATATTTACTCATTCATTCATTTTATACCCATCACTTTATATAAAAATCTTTACAAGATTTCGTTGTTCACAGCCAGATTTGGCTAGTCGTGCCCTGTTTTGGCGGTTTCTGGCTATCGACCAGTGATGGTGGTCAACAGTCGACTGTCCTTTTGGGTAGTCGGAATGTTTTTATTAATTTTTAAACTTTTGTTGTGGAGGTGTTTTAGCTAAATTCTCAAATGCATATGATTAAAATAAATAATCTAAATAATAATAATAAATAATAGTATTAAAAAGATCACAATTCATAAATCTATATAATATACTAATAAATTTATTATTTTAAACTAAACATATCAATATAACATACTTATCAATTTATTTTAATCGGGATGTCCGATTAAGAGAAAGGAACTTGTTCACTTGGTTACGAAAAACTATTCTCAGCGTAATCTTCCTGCTTTTGTGATTAATGCGGCCAAAGAGAAGCTCTCAAGCGTTTTTGGCTATGAATTGAGAGAGCTTCAAAGGTCCCGTCCTGCCTTAGCAAACCTCGGCCGTCCTTCTCAAAACAGTGAGAATTTATTGCCTTTTTAATCTCATTATGATACTATCACACCCTGCTGCTCGAAGTAGATTTACGTTCTATTGAATTTTCAAGAAATTTGATAATTTTTTTAGATATTTGTTGATTTTTTTTTCTTTTTCTTTCAAATTTAAGATTACTTATTCTATTTTGATTCTGGTATAATTACTGTATGGTTGGGTTTTTTTCCTTTTTATTGGATATATCTTGTCACGTAAAATTTCATTTATGAGTGATGCAAGACCTATTACTGATCAGTAATTTACTTACATCCTTCAAAGAGACAAAGAGTGCTGGTGAATTTCATTGATTGGGTAGTGAGTTAGCGGATCATTGGTTCCACCAGTTAGTTGCTGCAAGCGCTGGTGTTACAAGAAATTAATAACAATATATTGGCAAAGTCTTTTTATGCTCTACTGAAGAAGGTTTGGTTCAGCTCTAGTTTAAAGATTAAAAAGAGCTGAATTAGTTAGACTCAGTTATTAGTTAGAATTAAAGCTTGTTAAATCTATGGAGGCTGTTGTTAAATTCTCCTGATTATAGAGATTATAAAAAATTAATAATAATGATGTATTCTGATAATTCTCCTGGTTCCCGTCTTTATACTCTGTTTAATTATCCAGAGAAGTCCTCTGCCTCTTACCATATGCCAATCACCACATTGTAATAGTTTCCACTGAAATCTGGCTTTCCGTTTCAGGGCACCAATGTGTTAGAGTTCCCTAGACATTGTAATAAATCACCACATTGTATCAGAGTTCCCGAGACATTGAGGAATTGCTCCACTCAAGTTATTGTTAGACAAGTCAAGAATTTCAATAGAACTCCAGTCGCAAATTAATGAAGGGATCTCTCCCGTGAACATATTATCAAGAACTAATAAGGTAGCCATATTAGGCGCATCTAGCATCAAAAGTGGACCTTGGAGCAAGTCGGATTGAAGGTCTAGAACTAATAGATTCATCATTGAATTTTTTCCAAAAGGGACGAAACTTGTCAGGATATTGTGAGGGAGATTCAAATAGTACAAATTGTGAAACAATTCCAATTGTCATTGAGAAATCTGGCCAGGAATTCTATTGTTTGAAAGGTCTAATGACACCAAAATTTTTTTGAGTTCTTAAGAAACTGGGGAATTCACTTATGTTGCAGGAAGAGAAATGGAAATCCTCAAGATTGGGCAAGGTAAAGTTGGCTTTGTTAGTTATTAATGATAGTAAGGGGTTATGCGAAAGGTTAATGCTGCTGAGATTTTTGAGCTTGGACAACATGTCTAACTTCGCAATGCCACTCATCAAGTTGTTGGATGAAAGGTCAAGTACTGTAAGGCTTGAAAGTTCAAACATGGAATTTGGAATTGAACATTGAATCTGGTTATTCATTAAAGAAACAACTTCCACTGAACCAGTCCGATGGAACTCCTCAATTGGACCTGTGAATTTGTTGTTGATAAGCTCTAATCTCTCCAAAAATGGCAGAGTAAACAACCAAGATGGAACTCTTCCGTCTAAAAGATTATCTGATATGTAGAGAGAAGTTAGATTTGAAAGACCACTTGATTTTTTGAGAAGTCTAAAACAGAAAGTCGTGTGAGATTGAATGCTGAAGATGGCAACCAACCACTGAAATTGTTGGATGAAAGATCTAGATCAGTTAATTTACTGAGGTTGCCAAAAACATCTGGAATCTGCCCTGAGAAACTGTTGGAACCGAGATATAAATTTCTGAGCAGACTAAGTTTTGATAGTGATGCCGTAATTGGGCCAGTGAAGTTAGTGGATGACAAATCTAAAGAAGTGATTTTCGTGCAGTTCCAAAATGATGTAGGAATCGACCCTTTGAATTTGTTGAAAGAAAGATCCACCATATTCAAGTACCCAAGATTGCCAATTTTGTCTGGCAATTTTCCAGAGAAACTTGAATATGAGAGATTCAAAACATTCAGGTATATAAGGTTGCCGGTTGTGTCAGGTAACTTTCTTGAGAAATTTGTGTGAGAGAGATCCAAGAATCTCAGTGAAGAGCTCCAATTATACTTTGGTAAAGTACCTGTTAGAAATACATTTCCGGTTAAACTCAACTTTTGGAGGAATGGAAGGCGGAAAATGTTTTCTGGGAAGTCGCCTTGCAGGCGTGTAAAGCTGATAACAAGAGATATCAGAGTTGAAGACAGGTTCACCAAGGAGCCAAGAGCAACTGAAGACTTATCCAAACCATCATATGCAGATGCCTTAATTTTGTTAGATTCTGTTGAAGTTGGTGATATTTTGCTGGAAATGAAGAAGATTTCAGACGGTTGAAGTTGTAACATTTTGGCGCCAAAGTTTGAAAAATCTGCTGTACAAGAAGCAGTTGAACGGAGCTGCTGGTTTGCAAGTTTTTTGTGATACGTTTATGTGATGTGTTTAGGTGAATTCAGCCTTGATTAAAGCCTTTTACTTGTATCAGTTTTGATTGTATGGTTGAGATTTATGCATGTAAAAATATCCACTGCATCCGGTGAAACATTGGACAATCTTTGTATAAAAATGCCCCTGTTTTATGAATGAAAAACAGAGCACAAATTTGCAGCCAATTTTGGTCTCTCTTTCATCAGTTTTTCCCTTTGCATTCTCCAGCAAAACCAACAGATTCTGCAATTGCTCATTGAAAACATTTTGGCTGATTTCTAGTAATCCAAGCTGAAAGTTACCAAAAAGGTCAATTGAAACAAGTTCTGCTAAGTGATAGATTTCAGCTGCTATTAAGCCATAGAAACCGGAGAAAGAAAGGTTAAGCTGTGTCAGTTTCATAAACTGACCAAACTTGGATGAGATGGTGGATTCACTGAAAACATTACAGGCTAGATTGAGCTTCTGGAGACGGTGAAGGAGGAAGAGACTACTGTTGTCAAAGACAGCACCACGAATCCAACTAGAAGAAAGATCAAGGCCAATTACTTGACCTATGAAGCAATCACAAGTGACTCCATCCCAAGAGCAGCAATCAGTACTCTCTTTCCAGGAGTCTGTCTAAGGATGAGAATAGTCTTCAAAATCGTAATAAGAACTATTATCAATTGTAAAGGTATTCTTAAACTGGAGTAAGGCAAGACTTTGTTCAAGGGAGCAAAGTTTTGCAGAAGGAGAAGAAGAGTTAATATGGAAAGAGAAAATAACTCGAAAATTCAAGTACATGAAGAGGAGGCAGGGGAGTAGATTGTGCCATGATAAACTCCACGTGTTATATAGATAAATAAAAAGAGAAGGAATGGAGGAAAGTCTCGGTCATGCACTGAGGTCTACTCCACCAAGTCTTGGTCATCCACTAGTGGATAAATCAAATGCTTTTAACATTTCGAGAAAAAAGAATTTTATTAAAAATGGAGTGTAAATTTAGTGGTAACTGACTGACTTATGTTTCTCTTGCAATTGGTGCTAAAAAATTGCAGAATAAAAAATCTGGGATTATGACCCTGCAGCCACAATTTTAGATTGAAAATCTTAGAAATTTTTTAAGAGAATTAAGCACAAATTGTGTTTCCATTTGGGTGGCTCTAAATGTCACAAAAAGAGTCCAACTTTAAGTTTCAAAACGTGATGAATGTATTAGGAGATTGCGCAACGGAAAATATCTATTCGAGATTAATAACATAGGAATAAAATCATATCACATAAAGAGACACGATATTTATGTGGTTCGGCATAACACGCCTACATCCACGGATGAGAGAACTCCACTATAGTTTCGTGAACATGATATACAAGAATACACAGCACCATAAACTCGATACATAACAAATGCCTAGTGCAAAAACCATCATAGTTTCTAAGAGACTCTACCCATGACGTTTAATAATCCTTACATCAAATAACTTGTGTTCTCACATTCTTTCATAACCTTGAACTGGTTCTTACCCCTATATTTATAAGTAGTATATGAGACATTTTATTTCTAATGGAATTCATATTTCAATTCCCAATAAGACTCTCATAATTCTATTCCTATTCACATTTATATTCTTTATTAAATAGTTTTTCCTAAAGATATATAATTTGACATGGGAACAAATAGGATATGGCAAAACACAATATCCCAACCGAATGTGGAGACAAAGTCAATATAAACGTAATCTTGCAGCACTATTCTATTTAAGCCTCCATTCCTACATCCAACTTCTATCAATAAACTCTTGTGTGTTGTATCCTTGATACTTTTATCTGCAAAACCTGATAAAAGGAGTAAAGTGAAGCAGTATTGCAACACTAGTGAGTATGAAAAACCTTATATTCAACTAAAAAAGAATCGAAATTAACTTGGATAATGATGTAGTCTAAACAATTTGTAATCAATAGACTTTTCAAGATGTAAATATAATTACCATTCCAGGACAAACAATTGTAAAAAAATAGCACAGCTGACTTACAGGAAATTAAAGTAGAGCACACCTAATTTTCTTCTCCTTCGGTTCAGCAATCTAATTTGCCTTCGTCAATAGGACTAGTAATTTCAACAATGCCATTTTATAGAGCAAAAGACTATTAGCTTGTCATCTACTTCACATCCAATTTCACAACCCAAAATAAATTTATAAAAAGCAAAACACTCAGTAACTCCAACAGAACCACATTATCTAAAGCGCGTGAAAAATATATTAGCTTACCATCTACTTGAATTACTTCACAACCCAAAAATAACATACGAATTACTTGTCCAGAGAGAGTGGAAGAAAATAGATGGCTTGAAGATGATAACTAGACATGTAGACACAACCGGCTATCCTCCTTGCTCTGAAAAGAAAGAGAATGTTGAAAACATGTTGGAAATTATGCTTTAAATTCTTATGCTTTTAAATTAAGACAAAGCTACAGATATATTCTATAAAAGATGGATGACTCACCTTATAGAGAGCAGCACTAGCTTTAACTCTCTAATGTCTTCTTCTTGGATGATTTCTGTTCACTCTTCTCATGTTTCTAAACCTTACTCTTTCAACCATCATTACAAACCATAGCAGTTTTCCTGTTGCGAATATAATATAAAAATTAGGGGTGAGCGTGTCGAAATTGCTAGGAACGAGAATCAGAACCGACCGGTTCCTGGAACTGGAACCTGAAATGCAGGTTCTGTTCCGGTCCTTGGTATATAGGAGAATTAAATTACCCCTATTATTTTAAAAATGACAAATATACCCTAAATAAATTACAAGTACACCCCTGGTAGTTCACAAAATTCACACATACACCCTACAGTTTGCTTAAAAAAATCACATCTTCTACAAATACTGTTCCCAATCTGAAAATTATAAATAACATTCATCATTTCAAATAACATAAGTTACATAATAACAAAATACTGAAATGCAATCATTAAAACATCATGTCTCATGCTCCAAATTTGCTGTGGATATTCCTTCGTCAAGTCCAGTCATTTCTACAAAATAAACACAAGAAAGTCAATTAGTAGCTTAAAAAGAAAAATCATTTAATAAAATTATTTACCAATCGGATGATCGACTGGATGGTGATGGAAGGTTGACGACATGAACTGAGAACAAATCGTATACTGGACAGTGGGTGGAGACTTGAGTTTGACTCTTTTTTTCCCCCATTTTTCCCCAATTTGCAAATGCAATTCCTTATATTTCAAATAATATTTGATATAAAAATTACAAAACACACCCCATTGAGTCGACTCTGCTTCTAGTTCTACCTGTTACCCATGCCTACCCCTACAATATATCCCAAAGACAAGCCGATTACCAATCCACATTTGTAGCCCATCAAAGCAATTTCCAACTGAACCAACTTGAAGCATTGGAGAATTTTCATTCTTGGGTTGTAATCTGTTTGTATATAATTTTTTTCCCCCAAATGTTTATGGATAAAATTTGTGAGCGATGTAATGAAAATAACCCCATTACTACCATGCCCTCACCAAATTATAGTAATTGAATGGATTTTACTTTGACTAAAGAAAATTAACCATGCTAATACCAAAAAACAGGACAGGGAGATGAATTGTAAAATAAAACAGAGGACTAGAAGTGCAAACTGAATCGAAAATCAATTATGGAAGTGAGCTTAAACTTAGAATTAAAAAAACAAACATGAAGGACCAATTCTGATGTATAAAGTTTAGAAATTTCAAGAACAGAGACCCATATAGAATCCAAAACCAGTTCTACAAGTGGGTTTACCCTTTGTTGGAGAAAGGAGGTGGAATTCTCCTGCCAAAACATGAATAATAATGAGAATGGTTAAAAAAAGTAGAAGAAGAAGATTAAAAACTCAAACATGAAAGAGAAGTACATGAACTTACTAATTTCTTCTTCTTGGAGGTCTTTTTTCAACTCTCCTCATGTTTCTCAGACTTACTCTTTCAATCTTCCTTATGAACCATTGCGGTTTTCTTGTTGTGAATACAATATATCCAATGGATATGCCCAACACTAGTCCACATCCATAACCCATCAAGGCAATTTTCCAATCAAACCAGCTCGACTCATCTTCTTCATGGTAGATTGATGGTACTGGAGATGATGCCTCATCACGAATACACTTCCTTGACAATGGAGATCCACACAACCCAAAGTTTCCAATATAAGAGTCATTTGGAAATGAACCAAATTGATTTCCTTGAGGTATGAATCCGACAAGTTGGTTGTATGAAAGGTTCAACACGGAAAGAAATGTTAGACTTGTCAGCTGATTAGGAATCTCTCCAACAAAGTTGTTGAAAGAGAAGTCCAATGATTCAAGTTGTGTCAAATTTTCCAATAATGGTGGAATATGACCTGTAAGATTATTATGAGAAAAGTTGAGGCCTGGAGGTAATTAAGCTTTCCAATAGCTTTTGGAATTTGTCCTTCAAATTGGTTGTTTGACAAATCCATCATTGTGAAAACGTTTAGAATTCTGTCTATTTCTCATCAACACCTTTCATTGTTAAAACAATTGAAAAATATGAATAATAACTCGGCCCATCGCCTATCCACACAATAAATGGATCTTCTTTCAGATATTCAAATTCACCTTTAAAATTTTCCCCACCCATCATATTAAATTTCTCAAAAAATCTTGGTGGCAAAGAACCTGTGAACTGATTGTGAGAGATATCAATTATTCGTAGGTTACAAAATGATAATCTTGTCTTTGATTTTCCAATGGAACCATGAAATCTATTAGATCTCAATATTAGAATTTTTAGATCTGGAAGCTTTGCTAACCAATGAGGAAAAGTATCATTTATCAGGTTGTTCCCAACATCTAGAACTTCCAATTTGCTACAGTGAACCAATGTAGGTGGTAATGATCCCTCCAACTTATTGTTGTTAAGGTTGATATATTGAATGGAGCTATATACAGATATTGAGGGGACGTAACCATGGAAATTGTTCATTTCAAGGTTCAAGAGTAAAAGCCTAGAAGCGTTTCCTAGACATTCAGGAATTGTTCCACTCAAGTTATTGTTAGATAGTTCAAGACGAACAAGGCTCAAGTTGCAAATTGACGAAGAGATCTCTCCTATAAAATTGTTGTGGGAAAGTAATAAGGTCTCCATAGATGGTGCATCTAAAATCACAAGGGGGCCTTGGAGAAAGTTGGATTGAAGGTCAAGAACCCGTAGATTCATATTTGAAGATTTTCCAAAAGGGAAGAAACTCGTAAGACAATTGTGAGAGAGATTAAATCGACCAAATTGTGAAACAATTCAAATTCCCATTGAGTAATTTGGCCACCAATTCTATTGTTTGAAAGGTCTAAGAATGCCAATGTTTCTGAGGCTCTTAAGAAAATAGGGAATGCACTTATGTTGCAAGAAGAACAACTGAAGCTTTCAAGTCTAGGCAACATAAAGGTTTCATTTTTCTGATTAACAAATAATAGTAAGGTGTTGTTGGAAAGGTCAATGTGAACGAGATTTTTGAGCTTAGACAACTTGTCTGTATTCAGATTGTCACTCAAGTTGTTGGATGAAAGGTGGAGGGATGTAAGGTTTAAGAGTTCAAACATGGAATTTGGAATTGAACCTTGAATCTCGTTATTCATCAAAGAAACATCTTTCAGTGAACCAGGCGGATGGAACTCCTTAATTGGACCTGTGAGTTTGTTATTGCTAAGGTCTAATTTCTCTAAAGATGGCAGAGTAAACAACTGTTATGCAATGGAAACATAAACTCTAACGCTAGCTTATTGAATATAATAATACAAGTAGTAAAGCATAAATAAATTGCCAAAATTAAATGCAAAAATAAAGAATACCAGAAATTAACGAGGTTCGGTATTAAAACCTATGTCCTCGGGCACTGCAAAAGAAAGCTCCACTATCTCCAAACAATATTACAAATATTTGGGCAATACAACAAATACCCAAAACAAAGGGGAGATACAACAAAACTTGCAAACTAAAGGGTCCTTAAAGAAAGAAACCTAAACAAAAGAAGTATAATAGAATTACAACTTGGGATACAATTAACATTGATTTAGGTCCTTATATATAGGCCCCAAAAGTTTCCCACTTTTCATTCCTTTTCAATGTGGGACAAACTAACTCATTTTGGCCTATTACATATAAGTCCCTAAACCTTTCTCCATTATCACTTCTACCCCATGTGATTTTGCTAAAAGCCATTTTTCAACAACAATCAAGATGGTACTCTTCTGGCAAAAAAATTATTAGACACCTTGAGAGAAATTAGATTTGAAAGACCACTTACTTGAAATGGAATATGACCTTCAACTTGATTTTTGGAGAAGTCTAAAATAGAAAGCTGTGAGAGGTTGAATGCTAAAGATGGCAACTGACCACTGAAATTGTTCAATGAAAGATCTAGATGAGTTAATTTGCTGAGATTGCCAAAAACATCTGGGAATTTTCATTCAAAATTGTTCCCTCCGAGATTTAAACTTGTAAGCTGATAGAGTTTAGATAATGACGTTGCAACTTCGCCTGTAAACTTGTTGCCTGACAAATCCAAAGAAGTTATTTTCGTGCAGTTCCAAAATGATGTTGGAATCGACCCTTCGAATTTATTCAAGTCCCCAGGAGTGTAAAGGGAACTTGTACCAAAGAGATTCAAAACATTCAATTGTATAAGGTTGCCGATTGTTTCAGGTAATTTTCCTGAGAAATTTGTCTCAGAGAGATACAAGAATCTCAGTGAAGAGCTCCAATTATACTTTGGTAAAGTACCTGTTAGAAATTCATTACTGGTTAAACTCAACTTTTGGAGGAATGGAAGGCGAAAAACGTGTTCTGGGAAGTTGCCTCGCAGGTCTGTATTGCTGATAACAAGAGATATTAGAGTTGAAGACAGGTTCACCTAGGAGCCAGGAGCAACTAAAGACATATCCACACCATCAAGATGAAGATGTCGTTCTGTTTGTTGGAGTTGTCGACTACTTCAGCATTAATGGGTAACGGAGACGCACTCGGGTGCCCCGCTCCCTGGCGAGCGGGCAGGGGTCGTGGGGGCAGCGCCCCTGAGCCCGTAGGCGGTTTTGGCCTTTTCCATGTATAACCGCTGTAGGATTTCTTTTAAGTTATTAATTCCTTTTTGGGTTGGGCTTAGGAATAAGAATCCTTGTAAAACTAGGTTTAATCTCTTAAACCTAGTATATAAACATATTTTTCTTTTGTTATGGGAGAGAGAGCAATTCATTCATTGTAAACGAGAGAGGTGAGACATATTGCAATAATATTAACTCAGCTGGACGTAGCCCACATTGGGTGAACCAGGGTAACTCAAGCGTATTATTTTCTTTGTTTACTGTTTGTTTTGTTTTACTATTATATTTTGTTCCTGTTGTTGTCTCTATTTCGTTCACTGTTAGATTCTGCAATTGCTTATTGAAAACATGTCGGCTGAGTTCTGGTAATCCAAGTTCAAAGTTACCAGAAAGATCAATTGAAACAAGTTCTACTAGGTGATAGATTTCAGTAGGTATTAGGCCATTGAAACCGGAGAAAGAAAGGTTAAGATGTGTCAGTTTCATAAACTGACCAAACTTGGATAAGATAGTGGAAAAACTGAAATCATTACAAGCTAGATTAAGCTTCTGGAGATGGTGAAGGAGGAAGAGACTACTGTTGTCATAGATAGCGCCATGGACCCAACTAGAAGAAAGATCAAGGCCAATTACTTGACCTATGAAGCTATCGCAAGTGACTCCATCCCATGAGCAGCAATCAACACTCTCTTTCCAGGAGTCTGTCTTAGGATAAGAATGTTCTTCATAACAATAAGAAGAACTATTATCAATTGTCAAGGTATTCTTAAATTGGAGTAAGGCGAAACTTTGCTCAGGGGAGCAAAGTTTTGCAGAAGGAGAAGAAGAATTAATAGGCAAAGAGAAAATAACTCGAAAATTCAAGTACATGAAAAGGAGGCAGGGGAGTAGATTGTGCCATGATAAACTCCACATGTTTTTCATTGGAAATAAAAGAAAACAGAAACGGCTTAAAATTGTGTTGAGAGATGAGAAGTGAAGATGAAATGTCTATGTATTATATAGATAAATAAAATGAGAAGGAAAGTCGATTTACGTGTCAGAGTTCATTTAATGTGGGAATGGAGGAAAGTCTTGGTCGTTCACTGAGGTCTACTCCACCAAGTCTTGGTCATCCACTAGTGAGGTACTCTCTGTCCTCTAGTTTAACCCACACAAAACACGAAATAATTTACGTGTTTCGGCTTTTAGCCTACTCCATCAATTATAAATAATAAATAAAGAAAGAAAACAATTTAATGCTTGAAGTAACTTTCTAGTTAGTTGTACTCTCTTTCCTCTAGTTTAACGTATCTTGAGAATTATAAGTTGTTCTTAGGCTCACGCAGCGAAGAATTGGTGACAGGACTTCAATAATTTAATTAGAAGTCTTGGTCTACAATATTCTCTATATTAATCGTTTTTTAAAAAAAAAGTTATGGTTTACCCCAATAGTATTGTGAAACTAACATGATGGGAAGTCATGGAACATGCTTCATCATAATGTGAACCCACCAAGAAAACGTTCTGGTAATTTTTCAAAATGTGAATCTCAAGGATGACATTTGATGATTACAAATTTTAAATTATTGGAGACCTTTGACATTATGTGAATCACGATTCGCAATGTTATATGTGAAAGCAAAGTGGTATGATAAAGTGGATGTTACGGGCTACGGCCCTTGCATTGCAAGAAAACAGTGCAGTCTGTCACGAGAGAAGGGCATTTTGCTTTGATTTGCTTTGCAAGATAGGGATTCTGTCGTAACAGATCTCTAATTTAATGGAGATTGAGCTAGTTCCCAAGCATGTAAGGAATACACTAATTTTTAATATGTCTAAAACCTATTAGAAAATAGAAACATGACCACTTCCAGAAACAGAAATTGATTTTTCATGAAGTACTTAAAACATAAAGTCTGTAAGGTTGAACAATGGATATGGCAACTGAATTCTGAAATTAATGAACGTTAAGTATTAGATCAATTAATTCATTGAGGTTACCAAAACCATCTAAAAACTTCCCTGGAAACTATTTCCTTCAAAACATAAATTATCGAGGAATACCATTCCCCCCTTTTATAAGGATTGGGTCCCTTGGAATAGGAGGAATGCCATTCCTTAATCAAATCACCCCAACCATAGAAGGGAGTGGAATTCCCATATTTTTATAATTTGGTTTCACGATATATTTTGTGAGAGTGGCCTTAAACAAATGAAAAAGATGACCCATTTTTTATAATTTGGTTTCACAACATATTTTCGTCAATGTTAAATTCTAAAAATGAACAAACACAGTATGAATCCATTGAAGTATTGAACTTCAATATATAATATATAACTGGTACCGTCGTGCGCTCCGGGACTGGCCGTCCAAATGTGTAGCCACAAAATTCTGTATGTTCAAACGCTATCATTCAACACAACTTTCCAAGAAAATGAACAGAATTACCAAGTCAACAGTCTCATTCTTCCTACACGCTCTTTACTATTTCTACGCACCCTTCAAGAACAATTTTAGTCCTCCTTCACATTTTTAATTTGGTTTTTTCGCTTTATGTTTTTATCGTGGACTGGAAAATCTAAGAACTCTTTTTCACCATAGACTTATTGTTTTTTCTGTGATTAGAGATGTATGTGAATGTGAGTTTGAAGCTGATGAGATGAATATAGCCTTAATTTAGCATCCAAAGGAAACTCTTACTATTTAATTATGCACAATAAGCTTCCTGGGAAAAAGAAAATTACAGCTCAGAATAGTTATAAACTGATGGATGAAACAGGGCATTCTGTTTCAAGAGAAGGGGAAAGTATGTTTTAGAAATTCTTTGTTTATTAATTCATGATAACTTTCAGTAGTATAAACTCATGTCTTTAATTTTCAATGTAATGGAATCTTGATAAACCAGTCAACAATATATTGCAAGTTCTCTCAACAGATTTCGAAATACCTGGCACCAAACTTGTTGTGTTTGAGAGATCAATAGTTTCAATTTAGGAATACAGTGCTTTGTCTCTAAAAAACCCCATACAAAACCGTAAATGTTATTTGAATGAAGGACGAGAATCTGCAACTCAACAAGACTTTCTAACCAATATGGGTAGGTATCATTTATCTTGTTATTACCAATATCTAGAACTTGA